CAGATTAGTGTGAGTGAGGTGATAAGCAATGAAACGGGCAGTAAGATTGCAGAAATCCGCTCAGAAATGAAAGGCTAAGCTAATTGTCATTGTGTTGTAAATTTAACAGGCCTCAGGGCCTAGTACAATCCATTTTAAAGAAAGGTTGTTAAAAAGTAACGAATAGAGTGGTGGTGAATTAAGTCTAAAGACGCTAACTTAAAGAGCTCCTCAAATCAAATTTCCCAGCGCCCTCTCCCAGTGGGATGCAAGAATAAGGGCGCGGAAGTGAAGAGGAGACCTTAGCAGTGAAAGCAAGAGGGAAGTGAAACAGAGATTTTGCCTTCTGACAGTACACGTGCGCTTGCAGCCTGAATAACGCAACTGCTTAGGTGTTCAAGAGCAAGTGATATGGAAAAGGCGCTCGCGAACGCAACATCGTCTTCATTTGTTGAGGTGGTGACGTAAATGAGGTGAGTCCAGTGTCACACGAGGAAATGTCTAATTGCATAGCGTTTTCAAAAGTCGCTTGCTTCCATACAGTGTAGTAGTTTTAATGTGGACCGTAAGGTACAGTTTGAAGGCCCAATTAAGATTTTAGGGCATAAACAGTTCACGGTGTGAAAAATGTTGTGGATGTTCATGAGAACTACCGAGTCAGTCCTCTTGGTACAAATGCATTCGCAAATGTTTTTAACTTTGTTAAAAGTAGAAACTTTTCCAACAAAAAACAAGGTGACTTGTACTTCTTTTTGCTTAAACAAATCGCGAATGCGTTAAATGTTTACGCTCCAATAAATGTGGATCACCTCTACAGTCATTTTGAGAATGACAGAAAGGTAGTTTAGTGAGAAATGAAGTGCTCCAGACTGGCCAGAAAAGGATGCAAAATGTTAAGCAGAGAAGTAAAAAAGTATATTAAGTCAAATGGAGTATACCCTCTCAACGTTCGCACAAGGAAAACCTTTAGCCTCTCCCCTCACCAGTCAACAAAATATGAAGCCTGCGATAGGTCGCAGAACAACAAAAGCCCCGACTTTATTATTTTTTTTTTCGGGCTCCATAAGCCCTTAGAAGCTGCTATCGTTGTCCTATCACCAGGAAAGCGAAACTCACTGATCGACTGTCGTGGGATCGTTTATGTGGGTGGAGAGCAGACTCAGGAATATTACCCAAGCGCCGGCAATAAAATTACGCACAGTCTTTGCACCATTATTACTCTGAACACTCACATCTGCACACTCTGAGTGCAGGTGACCCTCTATTAATCATACATCTGTAAAATTTAATACCCACATTTGGTTTATGCAAAAACAGATCTTAACCTCTGATTTGAAGAGTCCGTTTGTATCTGGGCCAAAAGCACCCGGATATAAACATGAGATGCACCAACCAAACGTGTAGGTGTTGGTGCGATAATTCTTCGCTATCTCTAGGCGGCATACAGTTGTAAGGCACAATTCCAAGGTTGAATAGAACTGAGTCATCATAATGGGCATTTAAAAATGATATTGTAGAGTGGTAAAGCAATGTTATCGCAAGTTCTGCCATCGTACGAAAATGTAGTGCCTTGCCCTCTAAAAACAGACGCATGAGACAGGGGCAATGTCATTTAAGACTCGCTATCTCTATTCCAATAGTGTGGCTCCTTCCTTTGAAAGCCCATCCAAATGAAATTCGAAGTGAATTAAAGAGAAAAAAGAGTTCTAAAAAAATTGTAAAGGAAAGTTTAATGCAATCCAGATAGTGCGATAAATCACTGCGAAATCCGCCATCCCACTAAAACAATAGATGCATGCCAACGCCAAGGAGAATTCATTGGGATACCGTGGGAGGATAAGAACTCTTTGTCCAGATTACCAGAAAACTATTGATAACAGGAAGCTACTGTGACTTATTCCATCGTCTCTGAAAGAAACCCACCAGAGTACAATAGCGTACCGTGAGATTCATTAGTCATGACGACTGGCAATCTGCCCTTATACCACCGGTCGGCACAGAGATACTATAAAATATCAAGTTCAGATGGAATTCCAAACTGTGGGTACTTTAGAGAGATGCCGATTCCTATTTTAACTAACTGTTAAAACCTTTGCTAAGAATAGCAAACTGCCGATTTCATACCGTTCCAGTGCGATCAGATGATACCGTGCTTCCCTCATTGCAATGAAGCTTTGCTTGAAGCATTTCTTAGGAGGGATTAAACTGTGTTGTAGCAATTGGCTGAAGCATCAATAGAAGTATTATGTAGTGCCATTGAGGTTTGTCTCAGAATAAAAGCAATGAAACTGGCCAAAGTTAACCGTTTTGCTCTGTCAATCCTTTCCGACGCTTTGTGGCTGAGTTAAGACTTTATTTCCGAACAAAATCCGAAAAGACCTTCCCTAAGTAGATATACAAAACCCCTCCATCTGCAACCACTTTTAAGGTGATTTTGAACTACTTTTGACAAGTCATTTGCTCACTCAACCGTAAACGTTGAGATAAAAAACATTGCAATTAATAGCAGCACTTTTAGCACATTAATAAACCCAAAAATCATGAAATAAGGAGTTAAAAAGTCAGATGAGAATCAGACTTCGCTTACCTATAGGCATTCCACTCGGATGCCACAGTCAGTAAATATGTACCTGAAAAATTCCAAACTACGGTGATGGACCTTCGCGATGAATGCAAGGGACTATAGTAGCTAGGAGAGGGGGCTATTCAAAGGTTCTGATCAACAAGAGATGCGCTGCCCGTTCCAAATTAGTCATCAACTTGAGCGAATAGTAGAGAGGGAGCGCCCTACCTCCAAATAACCACGACTCTCAAGAACGCGACGGACGACGGATTTGCAGGCAGCGCGAAGACGAAGCATTGCAGCCATTTCTGGAAGCCGATGTCGCCAGAAGAGCCCGTGTTCGGAACGAAGGAGACCAAGACGGGGGCGTGAGCGCGACATTGCACCCACAACGTGATTGGACTCTGCGGTAATGGCGGATGTCGGTGGACTAAGCAGACGAACATTTTCCGCACGAACCTCTGATTCATTTGACTGGCCGTGAGGCATCACCTGACCCTCTACGCAGACTGCACTCCCCACGCAGAGACCTTCCGGCACACTGCATGTTGAACAGACAACCTAAATAGGAATGTAACCTTCCATTACGTCTGTTCTCGGGGTAAAAACAAATATACCCCTGTAAAGTGATCAGAATATATTTGTCTATCACTACAGGAATGCTTTAATATTAGCCTTCCTTTGATATATGGGATTCTGTATCTCGAAGTCCACTTCTCAAGTTAACATGTAAGTTTGAAAGGCATAATGCGATATAGAGGTTAAACGAGGACAGTGGCTGAGGGACACTAGCTGTACTAGTGGCGGCTAACGCCAATGAAAGTTTGTTTGGGACCAGAAAACTCCCTGAAAAATACAGTGTGAGAGCTTTTTCATTCCGATTAGAAATGCCTGTCCTTTTTTTTCCATTAGTGTTCTCCTTTTTGTCTAATTTTCATAGAGTCATCCTCCCGTTCACTCCCTCCTGATTGGCTGCTATCACGTGCAGGAAGTCCTTTATATGGCAAGGTCACTGGCACACTATAAACACAAGACTAGTGTCGACAGGGCTCAAACGTTTTTCACTACTTATTCGGTTATGTCGTAAGCACACGTTCCGCCCCTTTGTTAACCCATACGCCACGAAAAACTAAGGCATCCATCATTTGGAGGGGAAGTCGGTGGGATCAAGGCTCGATATTACGGACATCAATATGAACCAGTATTCAATGGAAGGAAAGTGCGTCATCTAGATGTAGATAGTCCCGTTCTGCTACTAATAAAGCAAAAGACGCTATCCTATGTTAGTTATTTCTCTTAACTTTTGCAGATTTAAGTACTACCGAGCGGCCTCCCAAAGCCTGCACAAGAAGACCGCCGTCACGACTTACCAAAGACCTCGACTGCCATCAACTTAGCTACTTTCATACAATTTTTTGATAGCCTAACATATATCAGATCGCTCACATCCCATAGAGGCCTAACAACATCCGATTGGGTTGCAAATGCTTGGTTGGATTTCTGCCCTTAATGGAGAAAAGCGACGTTAGTGCAAGAATAGCGCATTGAAACGCCTGTCCCTACCAAACGCATGCAGTATGTCAAGGCTGTCAAGAGCTTAATGTGAGACAAAATTTAGCAAAAGCTTGTACTTCTTCTGTCCCCTTTATTCATGGGTGAAAGGTCCTACCTACAAAAGCCTTCAACAATTGTACAAAAAATTATAAAGGGAAGAACTGGTATTACGACCATTCCAAAACGCTTAAAAAACCAAGCATGCTAGTTAAGATGAATTGGACTTATCGCAATAAAAATAGCAGTTTGTTTAATTATTTCGGACTTTAAGACGGTCTTCCATATGGGTAAGATCTTCACCTAACTCGGCTGGAGCACGAACTCCTGATCAGTATGGGAGGAAAACTCACTATCAGGAGGCCTACACAACATCGGGAGGTACTTATTCCACCTGAATACACAGGGGAACACACCACTGACCTGAATGAAACTGCTCCAGAGATGTTATTAATTTTTTCCAATATCGCATTTCAAAATGTTAAACAGCTATCAGGTTTGAGTAGATTACACAGATTTGCTGATTCCAGTTTACCCGAAGTCATCTGAAGGCTATGGAGGAACACGTGAAGCAATGAACTAGCACCAGCTCATGCGTCACAGCAACAATGTAGGTGTTTGTGGCACAGGCGAAATCAACTTCATGTACAAAATCTTTTAGTCACGAGAAGAAAGGACCTCAATGCAGCGTACCACTCATGAAATGCCCGTAAACAAATGTGCACAGCTCTGTAAAACTTGTGCACTTTAATTAAGTAGCAAGTGTTCGCTTGGTACGCACCTCCCATCGAAACAGCCGCAAAGGAGTACCATAGTTTTGAAACAAAATAAATTGCGAATACCGATTCGGAGTTCTTAAAAGGGCAGTCACCTTAGACAGCTACGTTTCCACAGACACAGTCTATAAATCGCACAATGCTTACGATTGGGATTTGGATCGTGACAAAATCTACTCTTACAATCAGTTTGCATGAAGGTTAATATACTATTTCGATTTAAGGTGGTGTGCTCGCAGGAGGACACGAAAGCATCGCATGAAGTGATGTGGAGACAATCGAGAAGCACAGAGACGATAACCACTCTCGAAATGTGATGATACGCGCACTCATCATACCACAGTGGCGGCATTCGAAGCATTTAAAATCAGGCGATTTGGCTAAATGCACAGCAGAGCGAATCCCTAAAGAGTGCCTCATCAAAGTGCTATGAACGGAAGAAAAAAAGGAGAAACAACAAAACATGAAAATATGCTTTAGTGCCCTTTCCAATGCGCGCATTTGTTATGGTAAGATCATCTACAGAAAAGAATAGTTTCCAATAACACAAATCGCCGGCTTGCCATTTTATCAATTGACGAGTGAGCATGCTTTTCGCTGCCCAACGTAA